TTTAATTATCAGGGCCATTCTCACTGGTGAAGATAACAACCCTAACTTTTGTAAACTGGTTACAAATCGCTACAGTTTGTATTCAAGTTCACGCGCGGAACACTACGGCAGAGGTTCATTTAAATTTCTCTACCTGACCAACTACAATTCTATTATAGAAATTTTCACTCAGCTCTTAACATTCGTGTCCATCGTGAAACGGCAAAATCTGTTTATAATAGAAAAAATGGAAAGGAAAAGTTTGTAATTGCTGGGATGTCGGCTTTCTTTACACTCTCATGAGGGCCATTTGTGGAACCCTTTATTTCCTAAAGCTTATGGTGCGACGCTGATTTTCGTTGTGTCATCAGGCCAGGAATGCCTTACATGTTTAAAGACATCGTCTACCGACATGTAGTAAGTACAGCGTGTAGTCTCCTGTTTTCTTCCCACATAGCACTCATTAATCAAGATCGGAAGAAAGGAAGGTTAGTGATTCCGCCCGAGGCTCGAATGCGTTAACTTTCGGTTCTGAGTCAGACGCTCTACATGCTGAGCAATCATGGTCTAGATGACAGAAACTGGTGCAAACGATTAGGTTTAAAACCAGTAAGCCATGGCAGGCTTGTTGTATGACAGTTACCTTCAGTCACTAATGAGGCTGGAATCAAAAGTACTCCAAACCGTTTAACACCGCAAAAGCGGATACCTGTTCCAACTCCTTTTCGATCTCGGTGGCTCGAATGACCAACGGACCCCGAACGGCGTACTGCATGACCTTGATGTTCGGGTTCATGTTGTCGATGGAGAGCGTTTTGTTCGACGTTTCGGCCATTATTGACATGCACGCCTTGTACAAGTATAGTAACGAGTAGCTCAACCGCTCTTCAGCGGTTCTGTTCAGAAGAGCCGCTCGCGCAAACAACTGGTGGTGCATGAGTGAAATCAGCTAAAACGAAAACGCAAAGAATTATTCTCACATATGAAAAACAACTCAACACAATCCGCACAGCAGCGTTTATTGTTGAGGGATTCGAACTGAGCGAGCAACACTTAAAATCGCACAATCGGAGTCAAACATGACGTGTTGGAAATGCACTGAGAACTAGTACAGATCAAACGGACTACAGTTTGAGGTATTCATTTATGGCACATCTGATGACAAAATGGGGTAACACTAATAACACGAATTTCGGATTAGATTTAATCTGGACTCCATTATAATACTTTGCAAGAATCAAGAGAGTGAAAAAAGAGTTTGACTATACCTCTCGATCCTCACCTCTTCCTGACTCATCAAATTCCTGTACATATAAAAAATGACAAGTTATCTTTTCCAGAGGATAACAAAACGAAAGTACAACATTACTCTGATGGACGTCCTAAAAATTAACCGCAAAAAATGTTTCGTTCCACCATGCATCAAGCATTGCTAAAACTTACAGTTCGTCCTAGGCATATGACATCGTCATCTGTTCAGAGGACAGACGGTATAATGTAAAAAATCATCATGCTTTTATGATTAATTGTTATGGATAGTCATTCGCACCGCTTTCATTTGATTTGTAATCGAAATCTCCTCTTAGACAGAACTGCCTCATAGCTGATCGTCTCAGGGTTCAAGAAGTTGCATAATATAAATCTGAGGTACCGTTTTTAACAATCAGACGCCATAATCCAGAATTATTTTGCTGTTCAAGTACGGTTAACCTTATATGAGGATGACAACAATGGAGATATGACACGCGATTCGTACTCTGATCGTCAACCTTTCTTAAAGACAGGGACGCCAAGGCCGGATCCTTGAGATCGTGATACATATAAATTTTCAACCACAGGTCTACTAACATCGAACCGAACCGTTAACAAAAGTGTTTCAATGTGTTTTATGCACCTTCTTTATGTACAACTGTTAGTAAAACCTTTCCATCTTTGTTTTACGTTTGGATTTCCTAAGCATGCATCGCGAAAACAATCGGTTGAATCATGGGCTCAGAAACAATAACCGCTTAAAGAAAATTCTAATGAAATGATATAGTTAAAATCAAATTAC